GGTTTCTGCTGCCTTTTGTTTGGCTATGCCCTGCCCCCAGAGGTGGAGTCTACAGAGGCAGGCAGGCCTCCTTGAGCTGTGGTGGGTTCCACCCAATTCGAGCTTCCCTGCCACTTTGTTTACCTACTCAAGCCTCAGCAATGGCAGGTTCCCCTCCCCCAGCCTCGCTGCTGCCTTGGAGTTCAATCTCAGACTGCTGTGCTAGCAGTGTTGAGGCTCCGTGGGTGTGGGACACTCTGAGCCAGGCATGGGATATAATCTCCTGGTGTGCCATTTGCTAAGACCGTTTGAAAAGTGCAGCATTAGGGTGGGAGTGACCCAATTTTCCAGGGGCCATCTGTCACAGCTTCCCTTGGCTAGGAAAGGGAATTCCCTGACCCCTTGCATTTCCTGGGTGATGCAATGCCTTGTCCTGCTTTGGCTCATGCTCGGTGGGCTGCACCCACTGTCCTGCGCCCACTGTCCAACAAGCCCCAGTGAGATGAACCCGGTACCTCAGTTGGAAATGCAGAAATCACCTGTCTTCTGTGTCGCTCATGCTGGGAACTGTAGACTGGAGCTGTTCCTATTCAGCCGTTGGAACCTCCTATGTTTCTTCTCATGGTAATCATCACAGTGTGTAATAATTCATTCCTGTGCTCAACAAACATTTATTGAAGACACTTTTGTCTCATGTATTCATTTAGGCACTTTGAAATATAACAATTAGCAAGATATACCAAATTCCAAATTTCATGAAGTTCACACTCTAGCAGAGGAAAGAGAAAGAAAACTGTCTTGCAAATAAATACTTAATACAATGTCAGGAAATGACAAATGCTATGAACTAAACTTGGGAAGAGGATAGAGCATAATGAGGGTAAACAGAGAGGGAGAAATGTTAATTTAAATAAGATTATCAGGTAAATCATCTTTAAAGTGCTAAATGCTATATGGAGCTTTGAATTTATCCTGTTAGTAATGAACAACCAATTGTAAGATTTTAAACAGAAGAGTGACAAAATCTGAATTGTGTTTCATGGAACAAAAACACAATACAAGTGAGAGAACCACCAATAGATAATTTGATGGAGAAGACTTTCAGGCAAGAATAGTAAGTACAATGTTATTGAGGTAGGAATAAATTTGGCATATTTGATTAAAGGCAAGAAGTCTATAACAGCTGGAGTAGAGGGAGCACGGTAAAGAAAATTTTAAAAAGAGGTAAGAAAGTTAGG